AGAGATGCAAGCATTGTTTATCTTATATCTTATTCAGTATCTGAAATAGCAACATTCATAAACTTATCTAGTATTTCATACATAACATTCTTAGATATCATCTACTATCCTGTCGATCTTCCTTTCTTTATATATAATAGACATCCTGCTTTTGCAGTAGCCTTTCTTATGATTGGATTTGAATTAGCAAGATTTGGTAAAACAGCATCTTTCACAAAAATTGCAAGACTATCTTATAAATCAAATGAAAAAGTGCTAAGTGTTTGAATAGCATTAGCAATAGCTTCAGGAGATCTGAATTCTGTTGTAGTAATAGCTTTTTATAAATATCCTTAAAAATCATTCAAGATACTGCTATCAAAGTTTTGTTACTTAGGATTTACAAAATTAATTATTTTTCTAAGTAGAATTGCTGCAATAGTTTATAAGAGTTTTTATTAAATGTAATCAGATTATCTTGGTTATGATCTGCATAATTAATTTAGAAACTAGACTGATTGAGGATGCAAACCATTTAAGAGTATTTACTTAAATGAATATGAAATATTGATACATCTACAAGTACATCAACTGATGTAAATTCTGCAAATTTTCTTGTATAATTTTAAAATATCACTTATAAACAGTGAATCATTTCTACACAAAAGTTCTTCTATAATAATTCTTATCGAATATGTAAGATAACTTTTTTAATGAGGTCTTGAAGCATATTCTCATTTAAAAATGAAATAAGCATAGCTAAAGTCATATATGGTAGACTTTTGTCTTTTACAGATCTGGCTTACATAGTCTATGATAATAGAAAAGATATGCTTTATTCCATAAATTCTTAGACTGCATGATGTTTAGCATGTTTGGCTAAAATAGGCAAGGTTTCTATCACAGCCTTATTAATAATAGTTGATCTATGATCCTTTTTGGATAGAACATATTCACCTTAATCATAAATTTGAGCTTGTGAAAATACCTATATTCTATATAAATTATAAATTACATCTTATTTAGCATAAGTTAAAAGTATTTTAATCATCATAATATTACCATGAATGTATTCTTCTTCTCTTGATCTTTTTTTGGATTCTATTTCATCAATATAGATTTTGACTAAGTAATCTTGATATGATTCTATAATCTTTTAATAATAATTTAATACATTCTCTTTATGCAATTTATTTTACAATTTCACTAAATAAATCTAGGGCTGCTTCTCTTAATGATTATTATTTTGATCTAATGGCCCCATGAATAAGTGTAAAATTACGATCTGTTTGCATAGTTTAAAATAACTTATTAAAAGTGATTGAAGCTGCTTCATTCAAAATTTCTTTTAAACTTAATACACCAGCTAATTTATATCTTTCACTTCTCAATTATTTTTATGCTTCTACAAAATGTAAATCTACTACTTGAGCTATTTTTGTTCCACCTAATCTTAATAATTTTCCAAAGACTTCAGCACTCTTCCTTAAGAATTTTTCATCATTATAAATAAATTAACCTGATACATTGGGAATAAACTTATTTACAAAAGTTAACACTTGAGCCTCTTATACAGTAGTTGTCAATTGATCTAATGCTAAAATACCTCCTATTATTTTTATAATTATTCATCATTACCAAATTTTTCATGAATCTCAGAACTATTTATGAGTCTCTGAATCTTACTAAATAATTCATCACTCTATTAAATGTATTTGTAGTAGACACTCTATAATTCCATTGCTGCTTTCTCTTTTTATTCATTTGGTACTTTTGCAGCTAGATCTTTAAAAATTCTCTGCAATTCCGGTTTCTGCATATATATAATTATTTTTATTAGATACATATACATACGATGCAAAATTAAGAGTCACAATAGAATTCCTTAGTATACTTTCCAATATATTCTCAAGGCTGATACTCAATAATAAGTTTGCTAAACCTATCAAGCTACCACTGAATTCTTTGATCAACTTCCTAATTGTATTACATGTAATATATATATTTTAACAATCAAAAGCTCTCAAGAAGCAATATCTTTTAGATAAAGCAAGTGTGAATACAAGATTTGTATTTTTGTGTTTGACAACCTTAACCACAGCAGGTTTAACAGCAAGAAGTAATATAATTAATTATGCAGTCACTCCATCATTTATCAAAGTAACCAGGAATACCATATTAAGTTATTTAGGTGCAGGTCTCTTCATTGTACCAGAAGTGTTTAACCCGTACTTAATATATAGATAATGATTATTATAGAACATATAAAATAAATAATGAATATCCTTCCTCTATATATTATTATATTTCCATTAATCTTTTTATTTAGATTAATTTTGTTTCAAGTATTAAACTAATGATTTGTTAAATTTAATATTTTAATAAAGAATGAATAAATTGATCATAATTTGTTAATCATTAAATAATTTTAAGACATTCCTTCAAATCTAATGACAACTAGAATCTAATTTGAATTCATAATGATTAATCAAATTAATACATAAAATTAACTATAATAAATGAAACCCTTAAGATAATTTGGAATACTAAACAACAATAGAATATCTTATCCTATTATTAGATAATGTTTCATATAGTAATTTCTTGTTTATCAAAATTTTAATAGTTTTATAGTTATTTAACTGATTTTTATTAGTTTAAATCAATAAGAGTGGAAACAAATATTTTATAATTGTTTTTTTTTGTTTAATTTTATGAGTGTAAATTTGAGTTTTGTTACTCAAAATTATGTATAAATAATATTCATAAACTTAATGACTGAAACAACTAATGTTCAATCAATAGGATATTTACCACCATAAATATCAAGTCATTACATTACTTTTGAGAAGGGTTAAAAGGTTTTATTGTTTCTGAATTACTTTTAAATTGATGATCAATCATTAATTTTAATCTCTCCAAGGAACTTTGAATATAGTAATTTAAGTAATTGATATTTATAATAAAATCATAGACTTTATAATGTTTAGTTCAAATATATGTCCTTCTTATAAAGCTTCAAAAAAATTAATTGTTTCAATAGAATAGTTTAAGTCAATTGTGAGTTTCAATATTTTACTTTTCTGTGATTTGTATTAAAACAATTCAGCAAAATCTTATTCAAAACAAGCTAGAACTATTGAGTCATTTATTAGTCCAAATTAATGTGATTAAGTAAATATACTAACAGTTCCAGGAGAGTAAGGGATTGATTTTAAAAAAGTGGAACAATATTTAGATTGCAAATTCAAATACATCAAATAACATTATAGATCTAATAGTTTAGTTTATATGGATAGCCCTTATAAATTGTATAATGTGTTATATTGTTTTGATAAAAATACATAATTAATTGAATATTTTAGATTTTTGATAGATAATTAAATCTATAATGAATTAAGTGAGATTTAATAACATTATCAAGTAAGCAATTTAGAAATGACTCTATATAAATTTTTTGATAATAAAGATCTACCTAATTCAATGAATTCAGTTTAAGCTATTCGTAAGAAATTCAATAATTAAACAAAAGATTAACAATTTTATTTATTATAATAAATGAAACATATAAATTAGATGCATCAATAAGCTGATTATTAAAATTTGAGTATGATATTTATATTTAATTATTTTAGTATGCCCAGATTGTTAGAGTATTTCTAAATGCTCATTTCTAGTATCTAAAAGTTAATAAATATTTTTGGCTGGATAAAGTGAACTATATGCTTATCCTATACCAATTGAATATATGAATTTAATTGGTAGATTATTCTCATAATTAATATGTTAAATGATGCATTATGCAAAAACTTAGAATGTCAATAATAAATTGAGTAATATAGCTTAAATAGAACGTATAGAAGAGGCAATATCATGTCCATCATTTAATTTAGAAAGAAATTATTAAAATCTTGAGATGTTAGGAGATTCAGTTATAAAATATCTAACATCAGCAATGTTATTTGAAGATAGAGGTTTAAATAATGAAAGTCTATTATCTTCTCTTAGAATAAAATTAATCACTAATAAACATTTATCTGATGTTTATATACCTCTGTAAATAAGAACAATGAATTCAAAGATACATTATAAAAAAGTAAGAAATCATATGACAACAACAATTAATGATGTGGATGATTTTAAATTATCAAGAAAATAATAAGCTGATATTTATGAGGCTATATGTGGTGCTTGTTATATTAAAGATTATGAATTTAGTGATGTAATCAAATTTTTTAAATTAACTAATTTTGGATTTTAAGGTATTTTCTAAATATTTTATTCTGGTAATTCTCTAATACAATTTCCTGATATCTATAATAATAATATATATCCTTTTAAATAATAGAAATAATTAAAACCGTTTGTTCAAAAATCAATTTACAATTAATCATTAGAGAAATTTGAATAATTTTTGGGTTGCAAATTATCTCGACTTAGTGAAGCAATGACAGTTGATGATTATGAAAGACTTGAATTCTTGGGAGATGCAATACTTGAATTATTGATTGTAGTGAATGTACATAAAGAATGTGAGAAATATTACTACACTCAATAATAATAATAGATGTGTAGAGAAGGTAAATTGTAATCTAATTTACTATTGTGTCCAGGATGGTTACATATTGCTAAGATATCCTTACTTGATAATGGTTTTATGGGTACAATGGCTCTATATTATGGATATCATTAATATGCTATAGGATTGTGTTAGGAAACTTAAAATGAAATAGAAAAAGTCTTGGATTCACTTAGATAGGAAGAATTTAATGAATTCTATTTAATTAATTAATATTCAACATAAATACCAAAGATTATGAGTGATCTTTGGGAAAGTGTAGCTGCTTGTATAATGATTGAATATGGATGGGAGGGAGTAGTTAAAATTTATGGAGAAATGTATAAACCATTTATTTAATATGTGGTGTAGAATATTTATACAATATATGATTACTATCAAGTAATCAATAGGAATATCTAAATTGAAAAAAATTGATTTTATTATTATTTTTATATAACAAATGTCAATTTAATATACTTAAGATGAATTACTCACATTCCAATATTTCTTTACTATTTGCGATTAAACTGTAAATATTTATAATGATGAATCTAAAAGGGTTAAGGAATACTTGTATAAGATGTAGTGATCAATTTTTTTAAGGCAAGTGGTTTGAATTAATAAATTTTAGGAGTAATTATTTACTTTACTAAATATAATAGGCTATATGGTAAATAACATCATCTAATGGATAAACATTCACAAAAGATGAATTTTTTGCTGCTCTTAAATTAATTGCATTAGCATAAAATGGTTATTCTCCAGATGAAAAATTACTCTCTAAAAATATCTCTTGTTCTTTACCTTAATTTCAAGGCCTTTAACCACCTAATTATGATATCTCTCTTGAATAGTTGCAAAAATATGAAAATTATTTTCTTACTATAGATTAAGAAGGCACTTAGATAGTCTAGGGTATGTAGGCAAGAGCTTTGTTTTCAAAGTCTGGGTTGAGTTTAGATTAACTAAAAGAATTATGGAATCTTTGTGATATAGGAGAAAAGGGTTATTTAAATAAAGGAGAATTCATAGTTGCTTTGCATTTAGTTTAGTTATGTTCTAAATTTAAATTCCCTTTACCCATCACCTTATCTGATTCTTTATTATAGATTACAAATAGATTATCTGTTAATCCTAATAGAAGTAGATTGGGTTCAAATTAAAACTTAATTCCTCAATAAAGATTTGGTTCTAATTCAAATTTACTCAATTAACCTAGACCAAGATTAGGATCAAATGCTAATATTGGAATATAACCAATTTAAAATTTTCAATAGATATAATCAGTTAATTAACCGTTAAATGTACCAACAAATGTGAATATGATACCAGGATATGATTAAAATGGGATAAATTAAGTGAGATAATAGGTTAATGATTCTACTTAATAAGTTTATCAAATGCAGACTTAATTAAATTAATTATATTAAAGTATTATTTATGAAAAACAAGAGGATGTAAAATAAATGTAGGTCTTGAATGATAAGTAAATAAATAATTGATTTTAGTTTGAGACTTATATTTTCAAATTTATAAGAACAATATAAGATTATTAATGAAGAGCTTAACAAAATTAGAATCTAGAAATAAGGATTAACTTAGTAGAATTAATAATTACAATAATAAATAGGAATATAATTATAATAAAATAAAGAATAATTTATTCAATTATAATAGGAATAATAATAAGAATAATAATATTTATAACTTCCTTATCAAAATTTTTAAACAATGACACAAAATTAATAATTAAGTTAAACATCTCATTAATAAAATTTTGGATTTTAAAATACAATTGTAAAATTCTATTAATTTATATTATATAGAATTATGGTAATAGCAGTCCTTTACATTAAACAAATTAAATTAAGATTCAGCCTTAATAACCAATAAATCAATTTAATGCAGATGAAATTCAAAAATAACCTGGTATATTAAAAAATCCTGTAGGTAATTTTTTATATTTACATTTAGAGACATAAAGAAAATAAGTAACATTTGCATAACACGAAGAGTAATTTCCATGGTGATATTTAACAATACAATTAACAAAATATAAATTTAATCATTTTAGTTTTCTTGGTTTATCAGAAACATCTGAAATATTAAGTTCACTCTACATTTATTGTAGTTTATCTTCCATTCTTCCTATAACATTTTAAAATTTATATAAAAATTATTCTTAAAATTCTCTATCAGATCTTTAACAATCATCTCCATCATCTAAATGGAAACTATTTTTTTAAATGGTATATTCTCTTTAATTCTTTGTTTCCTTTAATTATTATTATTATAGTTAATGATTAATTTTATTATTAGTAAAAAAGGTTTTTGGTTATCTATGTGAAATAGGTTAAGGATAGATTATATTTGTATTCATAGGTTATGTATATGAAGGTTATGTATATGTAGTCTATTAGATAGATAATTATGGCTAAATATATTATTCATATTATAAGGGTTAAGTTAATAACTATTATTATTATGGTTATTATTTTTATTAATATATTTATTATGGAATTATCTATGATTGGATATAAGGTATATTATTCTCATTTTAAGATTACATTTATTTTTTATCTCTTTCAATTATTCTTTCATATTGAGAAAGTAATTCCTTTTAATCTTTAATTACACCTTATAATTTCATAACCTCATCTTTATGTTATTCAAATAACTAATCATACTTCAATTTTTCTTCATTTATTTTATTTGTTAATATTATATTTCTATTTTTTAATTCCATCATCTAATCTTCAACTACCATTTGTTATTAATAAAATGAATTTTATGTATCTACTTTTTCAATTTCATTCAATTTTTCATAAGATTAAATTAATCCACTTTAATTTTCAATTATACCTTATAACTTTTTGATTTCATCATAATGTAAAGATTACTATTTTTCTAATTATTTATTAAATTCATCTCTCTATTATTATATAGTTATATCCTTTTACATATTTTATTATTTACTCTCATCCAATTAGATTAAAAGTTTTTCATTTTATTATTTAAGAATTGTTATCTATTCAACTTATTATTCATTAAGAAATGAAGACTCTTAATAATCTCTAATTAATTACTCATTTTCTTGCTATAAATCTAATATCAATTTCATTTTTACTTTGGTTATCATAAGATAATTGATGTATAGTTTCTTATATTTTTTATACTTCTTATGCCCATTCTTCTTTTAAATATTATTTTTCTTGTACTTCTTGACTTGCTTCTTTTAGTTATTATTTAAGGATATGATTTTATTACAATAGAAGTGCTAGACTCCCTTTTATTTCTTAATATTTAATCTAATAATCAGACATTAGGGATGAAAACTAATAAAATTTGAAAATAAAATAGTTATATAATAATATCATTTTTGATGATTCCCATTAGCCCTGATTGGTTTAGGCTTTTAATTTGGGCTTTTGACTTTTTATACTTTTGTTTAAGTCTTAACTTTATTAGAAGTATGTTAGATTTGTTACTTTTATTAGATAGAAGCTCTAGAATTATATGCATTTTCTAAATTATAGATTTATTTAGATTTTCTAAATTATGCTGATTATTAAGTATCAGTCAAAAAATCTTATTTTTCAATTTTCTATGGAGATTCATTATGAAAATTAAGATTCTTATTAACATGAGATTCACTTAAGACTTTTTTAACATCTTCATAACAAGGATTGAATATTTAATTGGTTGAAACATCTTCATTTTTAATTTGTGAAACTTAAAGTGGAATTTCAACTTATCTTAATAAATTAATAATTGAATTAAAAGTTGGTCTTAGAGTGGCCTTAACATTAACACAATCTTAAATTAATTGTTTAATATGATCTAAAATAAGTAATATTAAAATAATTTTACTTGGTATTTGTAATTAATCAATAGAATGAATATAAGATGAGAAATTATCATTTAGTGTCAAATTCTTATAATCATAAATTTATGCATCTTAAGGATGAATTCCTGTTAATAAATTAATCATAATGATTCCAAAATTAAATATAACAGCTAATTCACTATTGAATGATGGAGGACAATTAACTTTTAAAGAATTCATTACTTCTGGTGCTATCATCCAATCATTTTTAGAAACTTCATTAAAATAAAGTTATTCATAATCAGAAATTTCAGTAAATAATTATGTATTAACAACTTTAACATGATCATCAAATTGTAAAATTTTAGAAGTACAAAATTAACAATTATTTACACCTTTTTAATCCATAATTTAGAGTGCTTGAATTATATTTAACATAAATAATTTAACATCTTTTGGTTATTAAATTTATTGATCTGAATAATCGGCTGTTAAATATATTTTGACATAATTAGAACAAAATTCTTCTTGTTTTTATGTTTCTAAACGATTGACACTAACTAATGAAGAACAATTTGGTTAGTTTTATGATAAGACATCTTTAACAATCATTTTTTTGAGGGAATCCATTTAATCTTTATATTAGGACTCTTCTACAATAACTGTCTTTAAACATTATAATTAATTAGAAGGTCCTTTGTATACTTTGATATGTCCAAATAAAGGATGTTATTTGATTTCTCTTATAAATGTCCATTCAATTGAATGTGCAATACTTGGTTTGATTTATTCGTTACCCATTAATTTTTAATTAAATTTAATATATCATAACATGCCATATGTTTTGGGTAAGTATTTTTCTAATAATTCTGAATGGATGCTTGATAAATTTCCATAAGGATTGTCAAATGATTTATCATTGGGATTGTATTCATAATGTTAACCAGCTAATCCAACGAAATCTCCCTTATCATAGAATTTATGTTCTTACACCAAATGTCTTAAATAATGCTTCAGGAGCACAAATATCCCATTTACTCATTCCTACACCCAAACAAATAAACATGTCAGTTTAACCTTCAAGAACTGTTAGACTCTTTTTTCCTGAACCACCCACTTAATATAATTAACAACCTAAAGATTTAATTTTCTATAATTCTTAATCAGTTAATCTATTTCTTTAAGTACATAATCTAACATTCATTGGATCAAATTAAGGTTTCTTTAATTCTAATGGAATCTTAGATATACAATCATATGTATAAAAGACTTTTTATTATGGTTGATGACCAAAATATATTTTTGGTTTAAATTCATATGTATTTTAAGATTCTTATAATTTAATAAAAGATTATGAGATAATTCCCATTAATGCTTATTTTTTATATGAAACTCCAATTAAAGTAGTAACATTTTCATAATCTCCTTTAACAAAATCTAATGTGCCATCTAGAGGATCAACCCAAACACATAAATCATCAATTTCATATTAAGTTCTAATAATATGATTATTATGTGTTCTATTAAAAATATTTTCATCATATAATTAGAGATTAGTATCTGGTAAATTAATAGGTTAAGTATATGAAATGGATTCTTCTCCAATTATTGTTAACTTTGGCCTTGATTAATTTAACAATAATACCAATGTCTATGTAATTATTAAATAATGTATGATTATGCTTAAATATCAGCAATAGTGACAGGATCATCAACACCTTTCCATTTTTAACCTATATTTGATGATAATCTGACTGAATTGATAATTTTAGCAGAATTATAGGCTAATTAAATGGCAACAGAAAAAAATTCATGAACTTTAAGCATTATTTTAATTAAATATGAATAGTGATGAAATATTATCTGTAGTAGCTGATATTGGAAATCTTTATACTAGAGTAGGATTTACAGGAGATGATTTTCCTAGATGGAGTACCTTTACAAAATGTACAGAAACATTTTAATTTGGTGATGAAGCTATGGGTGTAGGAAATACATAATAAATTCTTGATATTCTATAACCATTTAATTCAGATCTTTATGAACAACTTTTATCTAAGATATTTGAGAAATTATATGTATAACCTAAAGATTATAGTCTCTTATTAGCTAATAATTTTTAATCAAAATAAGATCTTTAAAAAGTGATTGAAATATTATTTGAGAGTATGGAGATTCCTAATTTCTTTACTATTAGAAATGCTGTATTAGCTACTTTTTCAGCTGGTCGATCTACAGCATTAATATTAGATATAGGAGCCTATTCTACAACTGCATCAGCTGTACATGATGGATATACATTATTAAAAACTTAATTATAAGCACCTATTGGAGGAGAATAACTTAATGAACCTTTTAAATAATATATTGTTGGAGAATATAATTAATTCAAAAAAACATGTTAAGCTAGAGATATTAAATAATCACTTCTTACTTATGAAACTATTGATACAAATCCATAATATGAATTACCAGATGGTAAATTTATATCAATATAATAATCATAATTATCAGAAATTGCAGATAAATTATTTTATAGTAATGAAAATTTTAAAGGTATTTAACATATGTTAATGGATATCATAAATAATTCTACAAATGATATTAAATAATTATTATCATCAACTGTTATTTCAACTGGTGGTTCTTCAAATATTCCAGGATTTTTAAATAAATTATAGACAACTTTATCTGCTCTAGCACCACCTATGTGTAAAGTTAAATTAGTAATGTATCCATCAAATGTATAAAATATATATATATATTAATATAGTAAAATAGATATCACTCTGTATTTATTGGAGGATCAATATTAGCTTCACTTAGTTCATTTTAATCACTTTGGGTTGCAAAAAATGAATATTATGAATCAGGAAAATTCAGTATTATTGAAAGGAAATGTCCAAATTGAAAATTTATTCTATTATTTTTTATTTCCTTTATTTTATTAATTAATTATAAATCAATATATAATAATTGAAAATTCTTTCTCAATTTTTAAAAGTTATTTATATGACTAAACTTAAATAAAATTACAATAACAATTAATATATATGATTGATTAAACTACTTACTTATTCAACTAATTAGCTAATTAATACTTGAAAGTTAATATTGAACAAAATATGATTATAGATCCTGAAATCCATAAAATTCTTCATCTACTTCAAAAAAAAGTGAGACAACCAAAATTAAAACCTTATCAGAACTCTTAATTCTATTACCTAATAAATCATAAGAATTCTTGGATTAATTTACACCTACATTTATCGATATATATATAAAAAATATGTAGATAATGAATAGGAAAGAAAAGTTTTAGAATTATCCAATCAAGTGTTATCCTTAATTTGTTAATATGGAAAATAATCCTTATCTAAGAAATTCAAGTAATTATTCCCATAATGGTTTATTATGATCAATGATTAAAATTCTGAAATATAAATTTATATCATTTATTTATTAGATCTCAAATACAGCTATGAATGCCTTTCAAATTGCATTCCCAACTAAAGAAAAATAAGTATAAGCTCTCAAATATTGTAGTGATCAATATATGATTGATTTAAACATATATCTATCTCTATCTATAACTACTATCAAATAAGAAATAAATTAAGAAGATGAAAAAGCTTAATATTTATATGAGAGATTGATAGTATCAACAATTAACTCAATTAAAACAGCTATATTATGGAATCCTGATAATAAATTTATTGAATAAATTATGATACAACTTGATTTTACAAATCAAATTACTATTATTGTAGAATTACTCAATACTGAAAATATAAGTATTGTAGCAACTATCATTGAAACATTACATTTTCTATTGTCTAATGATATATCAACTCATTTTGTCCTTCATAAAAGTGACCAAATACTTAAAAAGACAATCTAACTCTTTGAATAAAAAGATCTTTTAATTGTAAGTGCATTATGTAAAGGATTTATTACTAAATTATTCTAAAAAGTTTAATAAGATTAAATTTTAAAACTTTAAGATCTTGAAAATAAATCTTTGGAATTAATATCTTAAGCTGGTTTTGGTGTTGGAAAATTATTTTATGATTAATTAGTTTTATTTGTATCACTTAATCCTATCTATAGTGTAATCAATATTAAAAAAGAGGATGATTTTAGACAAAAATTAGCTTCCATGACAAAATTATTAAATGCCATCTTAACAGGTATTACTCATGAAGAAGGTAAATTATTTTCAGAAAATTTAATAAATAGTTATTTTGAAACAATCTATTTTCTAATTTGCAAAAGTATAAATCCTTCTTTAATTTAATATAATTAATTTTTAGGATAAGCTAAAAATATTATTGCCTAATCAATCAAGTAACTTTTATAAAATACTCTATTTAAATAAGGTGCTTAGGCATATAATCATAATCCATATTAGTACCATCAATTTTTTAATAGTTTTAAAAAATTTTTAAAGTAAAACAAGAAAAATAAGAACTCTTAAATGAAATTATATAAGCTATTATGACTGAATTAACGACTCTCTTAAATTAGGTGATTATTAAGTATTTGTAACTATGGTTGAATAATTACTCAAAATTAAGATGGGATAAAGTTCAGCTTATCAATTTGTTTAAGAATATTTGATATATATATTTGATTTAATATTTGGATTTGTATACTCTTATATTAAGATAGGAAGATAATCTCATAGAATTAGAAAATCAAACAGAATTAAATTAAATAATAAAATTACTATTTGAGATGAATTTGGAATCAAATTATGATAAAATGGTTGCTTTTGATTTTCTATATATAATATGTGAAAGAAAAACAATTACACCTTTTGCTGCTTATATAAAATAAATTATTAATTTATTTAAGTAATTATTTTAATAGAATATACCATTTAAACTATACTATACATTTAGTATTGTATCAGCTTTTTAATTGGTTAGATAAATATTGAACTTTATAGAAGTATTTCCAATAGAATTTTAAGATTATCTAAATTTTGATTTAACAAATTCTTTATTATAATTAATTTAAAATTCCCTCTTGATAGTAAAATATTAAATTATTTACTTGCTTGGCTTGTTGTTTTATAGAAAAAAAATTGTATTTAATTTTAAGATAAGTATCCTACTTATTTAAGCAGTTTGTTTTATTTGTTATAATACTTATATGATAATGAAATAATGGCAAAGTTTAATTATAAAGAAATTTATTAATATGAATTAAATCTAATGGAAATTTAGGATGATTAATCTGAATTATTAAAGATTATTGTAATTTCAATTTATTATTTTATTGTGAATTAATAGAGTTATTTTAAGGTATGGTACAATTAAGAATGCAATCAAACATAAAAGAAATAATTAGACAATATACTGTAGATTATTAGTAAAGCAATTTATTAAAGGGAAATAGTATTTATTAAATTAAACAAAATAGAATTACAAAATGAAGGTATTGATATTAATATTTCTAAAAATCAATTGGAAATAACAGCTACTTATAACAAAAACTATAAATCCTTATTTAAATTCCAATAGATTTTCCTTTAAAGCCTTTAAAAGTGAAAACTAACAATTTAATTTAGATTAGTGAAGATAAATCATAAAACTGGAGTTTAATGATAAAAACTATTATATAATAAGAAAATGATATTAGATTATCAGTATTAAATTTATGGAAGAAGTATATTGATGAATAATTTTAAGGTATAAATCTAATTAATAAATATTGTTAGATATTGAAGAGTGTGTGTTGTATGTATTTGTGTAATCAATAAGAATGGAGAATTACCAAAGATGGCTTGTAGAACATGCAAACATAAATTTCATTCTACTTGTATTGAGAAATGGTTTCATATTAGCAATAAAAGTGATTGTCCTTTATGCAGATGTCAATTTTTATGATAAAGAAATCATTATAATTTTTAAATTTCTTCATGATTAATCGATTATCCATTTTTGGCTGAAATTAAGATTTTTTCAGTCTATCTGTTCTTTTCAATTTTTTCAAATTTTTCTTTTTATTCTCTTTGTATATCATCTTCATCTTTATCTTATAATCTCTCAAATATTTTCTTATATAATTCTTGTTCACTTTTTGTAGTTTTGATTTATTTACATTTTTACAAATATAATTATACTTCTGTAACATCTTCATTAGGGAATTTTTAAATAATCTGTTAAAATTATTCAAGGGCTTCACTAGTCTAACCTCTTTCAAAATGAGCTTTTGCATAAATAAAATAAGCTAAAGATGATCAGAAAATTTGTACCTTTAAAATTTTAATCCCATTCATTCATAGCTTATTTAGATGTTTCTATTGCTTTTGTATAATCATACAATTATAAGTAACAAATAGCTTAATTAGAAAAAACCCTTGAGAGTTCAATCTAAAAAAATGTCTTTTATTCTTAAGTCATTTTATTTTTCAAAGCTTTTGGAATTTAGCCAATTTTAGTGTAAAGAGTTCTGTAAACTTAAATAGCTTCTTAAAATTTCTTCTCTTTAAATAATTAACCAGCTTAAGGTTTCAACTATTTTACTTTTTATTCTCTCTCTTCTAAAGTTAATTTTTCATTTTCCTCTATCTCTTCTATATCATGTACTTCAATAATCCATATTAAAGGTTAATCTAATATATTTCTATATTTGCTCTCAAAAAATATTATGATTGGAATGTCTTTACATTAATTTTCAGTTTCCAATTAAATAATTGTTTTTCTCAAATTTGGATTCACTTCAAATACAGCAACCTCTTTATTTCCCATTTAATTTAAGCATAAATGTAATCCAAAAGATGATTTTTTATCATGCTTAAGCTAAATCTTTTTTATATTTTTATAATCCTTATTCAAAAGTTTTCCCTAAATTGAGTATTCCTTAATTGTGTAGCTTATTTTACAAGTCTCTGGATTGTATTAAGATACAGGAGGTATTGAATAAGGAGTATCCAAATATTTCCATAGTAAACCTTCATGAATGACAATCTTTTGTTTATTACATATATCTCTAAAATCCAATATGCTATCATTGTTTTAATTTGCCATTTTATATTTATTAATAAAAGAAAATATCAAAATGGCAAAGGATAAATAGGGGGAAATTGATGTAGATAACATAATTGAAAGATTATTAAGTGTAAGAGGGAGTAAGCCAGGAAAAAATGTAAATTTAACAGAACCTGAAGTTAGAGGTCTTTGTATAAAAGCAAGAGACATTTTCATTAGCTAACCAATATTGTTGGAATTAGAGGCACCTCTAAAAATTTGTGGTGATGTGTTAATTTTAATGATTTTATAGGCGATGTACATGGTCAATATTTTGATCTTCTGAGATTATTTGAGTATGGTGGTTATCCTCCTGAAAGCAATTATCTTTTTTTANCTCTCAAATATTTTCTTATATAATTCTTGTTCACTTTTTGTAGTTTTGATTTATTTACATTTTTACAAATATAATTATACTTCTGTAACATCTTCATTAGGGAATTTTTAAATAATCTGTTAAAATTATTCAAGGGCTTCACTAGTCTAACCTCTTTCAAAATGAGCTTTTGCATAAATAAAATAAGCTAAAGATGATCAGAAAATTTGTACCTTTAAAATTTTAATCCCATTCATTCATAGCTTATTTAGATGTTTCTATTGCTTTTGTATAATCATACAATTATAAGTAACAAATAGCTTAATTAGAAAAAACCCTTGAGAGTTCAATCTAAAAAAATGTCTTTTATTCTTAAGTCATTTTATTTTTCAAAGCTTTTGGAATTTAGCCAATTTTAGTGTAAAGAGTTCTGTAAACTTAAATAGCTTCTTAAAATTTCTTCTCTTTAAATAATTAACCAGCTTAAGGTTTCAACTATTTTACTTTTTATTCTCTCTCTTCTAAAGTTAATTTTTCATTTTCCTCTATCTCTTCTATATCATGTACTTCAATAATCCATATTAAAGGTTAATCTAATATATTTCTATATTTGCTCTCAAAAAATATTATGATTGGAATGTCTTTACATTAATTTTCAGTTTCCAATTAAATAATTGTTTTTCTCAAATTTGGATTCACTTCAAATACAGCAACCTCTTTATTTCCCATTTAATTTAAGCATAAATGTAATCCAAAAGATGATTTTTTATCATGCTTAAGCTAAATCTTTTTTATATTTTTATAATCCTTATTCAAAAGTTTTCCCTAAATTGAGTATTCCTTAATTGTGTAGCTTATTTTACAAGTCTCTGGATTGTATTAAGATACAGGAGGTATTGAATAAGGAGTATCCAAATATTTCCATAGTAAACCTTCATGAATGACAATCTTTTGTTTATTACATATATCTCTAAAATCCAATATGCTATCATTGTTTTAATTTGCCATTTTATATTTATTAATAAAAGAAAATATCAAAATGGCAAAGGATAAATAGGGGGAAATTGATGTAGATAACATAATTGAAAGATTATTAAGTGTAAGAGGGAGTAAGCCAGGAAAAAATGTAAATTTAACAGAACCTGAAGTTAGAGGTCTTTGTATAAAAGCAAGAGACATTTTCATTAGCTAACCAATATTGTTGGAATTAGAGGCACCTCTAAAAATTTGTGGTGATGTGTTAATTTTAATGATTTTATAGGCGATGTACATGGTCAATATTTTGATCTTCTGAGATTATTTGAGTATGGTGGTTATCCTCCTGAAAGCAATTATCTTTTTTTAGGTGATTATGTAGATAGAGGTAAACAATCATTAGAAACCATTTGTTTATTATTGGCATACAAAATTAAATATCCAGAGAACTTTTTCCTTTTAAGAGGTAATCATGAATGTGCATCTATCAATAGAATATATGGTTTTTATGATGAATGTAAGCAATTTTATTATATATTAAGGTAAACGTCGATATACAATTAAATTATGGAAAACATTCACAGATTGCTTTAATTGTTTACCTGTGGCAGCATTGATAGATGAAAAGATTCTATGTATGCATGGAGGCTTATCACCTGAACTATCTAATTTAGAATAAATAAGAAGAATTATGAGACCTACTGATGTACCAGATACAGGACTTTTATGTGATTTACTTTGGTCTGATCCAGATAAAGATGTCTAAGGATGGGCTGATAATGAAAGAGGAGTTTCTTATGTTTTTAGTTAAGAAATTGTACAAGTCTTCCTTAAAAAGCATGAATTAGATCTTATATGTAGAGCCCATTAAGTAATTACAACTCTTATTATAGGTAGTTGAAGATGGTTATGAATTCTTTAGTAAAAGATAATTGGTGACTCTATTTTCAGCTCCAAATTATTGTGGTGAGTTTGATAATGCAGGTATTTGTATGAAGTCTCATATGCAGGTTCTATGATGACTATTGATGAATCCCTTATGTGTTCCTTCCAAATACTAAAGCCTGCTGAATAAGGTGCTCAAGGTGCCTCATAATAAAATAAACCTCCTAGTGCCAAGTTTGTAAACTGATTTAAATCAGAGAATTTATATATATTTTAAAACAACTTAAATAGATTAATTAATCATCATTATGTTTTCAAACTTGATCAATCATTTCTGATAAATTTATCATTATAAATATTTAACTTGAGTTTTCAATTAATTCATATAGCTAATATAGAATAAGTTAGATGTTAGAATTAATAGTTGTTATATCAACAATATTAAGTAATGGAATATCAAAGTTTAACAATAATGGTTTAAATGGAAAATAAATAATTACACTAATAAATTCAGTTGATATAGTAAATAATATAATATTAAAAATAGTATTTAATTCATTATTAGTAATCTATATTATGTAATAATATCTCTTCACTTTTGAAAAAATCAATTTTACATTGTATTATTTCTCCTTTATTGAAAGTTCCTAATAATATATAATTAATATCATACCTTAAATCATTTTCCAATTAAAATGCCAATCTTTAGAAGATTCAATTTAGTATTGATTGAAATACATTCCCTTACCATGAAATAAGTTATTTTTCCATCTTCCTTCATATATTATTTTGAATTTTGATCCATCACAAAATAGCTTTCCATAACCATCTATTATTATTGTATTATCACAATTCAATAATTCTCCTTCATAAACAAATCCATTTTAGAATTGAATTAATCCATTTAATTTCTTTGATAAATTGAACTTATTTCCACTCCAAACATTACTTGCTTTATCAACAATTTTTAACGCAGGAACTGTTAAAGTGGGAGTATTTGGATAATCACTTATTGTATCTAAAGTCATTTCAGATTTATGATTATTTACAAGTCCATAACCATATTTTGATAAAGGATATGGTTTACCTTGAATTTATTCATGATTCTAGAATTAAGTTTTGAAAAATTATTCAACATTTTATTTACTAAGTTAAACACTTTATGTTTTTTAATGTTTAGGTTAGGCATGAGCAAATTCTAAAGCTAAACTTATGTTTTAAGTTTTTTATGGTGAACTTGATCTTAACAACTTGATACTACTTGAAATAATGGTCTTTGAATATTTCACAATTTTAATATTTTCCTAAGGACCTAAGAATATATAATTGGGAAATTATATTGTTGTAGTTAACCTTTTCTCTGGTGATTTAAGGGGTCTATTCCTTGAAGTATTAGCTTAAATATTCAATCTTACTATTTACATAAAACTTATTAATTTTTTAATAAATGATTCATTAAACTTAGCTATAAAAAAATCAGAAAAGTCGCTTTAATTTTATAATTGTAAATCTTTGAATATAATTATATATAGATTACCTAATTTATATGAAGATAAATGTAATTGATATTATTTATATTGTAGGAAATACTAATTATGATATAATATATATTAATTATAATACATATTATAAATTTTTATATGTTTCATAATAGTCTAATTTTGATTTCTAAATTAATGCATATTTTAATTTTCTTATTTAATTGAATGGATCAATACTAAAATACTTTTTAGATGTTAGGACAGAATATGTTTTCCAAAGCTCCACCTAGTGGTTATAGTGCTGGATATCATCCTATAATTTAAGCCAATTCTAATAAATAGAAGTTTGATTAACTGATATAGTTAATGTAATAATAGGAGTAGACAGTAATAAAAAATGCTTAAAAAGGTTAGTGATTATAATACGAGAATGAAGGAGAAAGAAGATCATCTATATTATTTAGAATAACAATCTATGCAATTATAAAGAGATTTGATTTAAAAAGATAAATAAAGAAATGAACATAATCAAATACATTACAAAAATTATTCACCTACTTTTAATGTTTAAAATACTGTTCCAATGGAGCCATTGTAAACTGAATTATAATCAGTTTAGAACTTAAAATAAAACAAATCTATATAAGCAGTAGATTATCCAGAAATATAGTCTTAATAAATGCAACGATAAGCATCAGCTTAAAGTAATTAAAATTAGACAAGACCTTAATCTAATACAATTTAAGGAAATTAGAAATTGTTATATATGCAAAAACAAATTGAAGAATAAAATCAATATATTTAATAACTGTCTGCTTTGGTTGGTAATAGGAAACAAGTATTTGATCCAGAGAAGGATGATAGTTTAGCATAATTATTGAATGAAAGAGATGATTTATAAAAATAACATATTTTGAATGAAATAAAGTAATTAAAATAGAGAATAGATGAATATGATCATTCAAGATAATAATTATAATATGGATTTATGCCTTAATAATAATAACTATTATAATAATAAGGTATGATGTAATATTAAAATCCTTATGGAATGTATCCTTAAATGTATCCTCCAAATATCTAATTATAATAATAATAATAAAGTGATGAATCAGATGATAATGATTTAAATAATGAAATTTTAATGAAATTGATTGATCAATAAAATAGATAAAATAAGAGAGGATCAAAAAATAAATAGAATAGTCGTGATAATAAGGATAGAAATTAAAAAAGAGATAGGAGAAATACATAAAAGAAAAAATAATAAGATGATGATAATAATAATAATCATGGAAATAATGATTGAATTTAAATAATTTTAGTTTTATTTTTATTATTATTATGCAATAATTGATTATGCGTAATCATATTGTTGTATCTTTAATTTTGGTACCTGGAAGATGATACAAATCTCTGACTGCTTTACTAGCAAATCTAAGAATATTTATTAAAAGATAAACCCTTTACAATAGTTGGCTGGATTCAATTTATTGAATAAGCAACTTTGAAATTTTTATAGATTATCTTATGCTTCAGTTGGAGCATCTTAAACTGATTATCCATATTATCCCTAATGATTAATATATATATATATATATACTTATGAAATGCAATAATAATAGCTATCTACAAGTGGTTTGCATGGCAAGAAACCATTTGGAGTACCTTTTTCATCTTCAAGATGCTTTTTGAAGATTTTTTCTCTGCATACATCTATACCTGTTAAAAAATATTGGCCTAGAGTAATATAATTAGAAGAGGAGTATACAATTTCTTAATCTAACAGCTACAATTCGAACTTCTTCTTCTGAAGGTACTTTGAGAGTGTACTCGTCATCGAATTCACTGTTTTCTAAAGGAGTAGCTTGTCCTGTGAAAAAGAATCTATTCATTAATTTAATTAAAATGGATGAACAAATTATAAATGTGATATTTGACCCAAACTTCACTTCTTTTGATTAGGATTTAGCTAATATGAGTCTAGAAAAGATGATGCAAGTTTCATTTTCAGAAGAAATCTTGTAAAAGAATTTTTCTGTCATTATTTCTATTCTCAAACAGTTACATAAGGGCATGATACTTATAAATGGATAAGTGAAAGACAATAGTGATTGGGTGCAGGTAAAGATACTTATAAATGATAGAAATTAAGGGAAGAATCATAATAGACTGATACAAAAGATAAAATAGATGTGATTGATTCTTAAGTAAAGGAAATTCATTAGAATTTTGCTACAAAAGCAGAGTTGTAAGCATTAAAATAAAAATATGGTATTAAATATTAATTAATTATGTCTTAGATAATATTTTGAGAGATTAAGATATCTAAATTAAAGAAATTGCTAAAACTTAAGAATAAGAGTAATAATAAATAAATAAAAATGCTGAAGATATAATTTAAAAATAAGAATAAATTGATAAAATTAATGAGGAATTAGATAAACTTCGTAAACTTATAAATGATCAAAATAAAATAATATCTGATTTATAAACATAAAAACCAGATACTAATGTTTATCAAATTTAATAATCTAAACCATTATCAGATGATTCATTAAAGGATGTTTAGAATAGATTAGCATAACTTGGTAAAAATATATTATTTATATTATATTAGAATCTTAATATAAAGAATTACTAAAATAAATCAATAATTAACCAAAAAATTTATTATAACCAATCTAAATGAAAGATTAAGATTATATAGATTAACCAAATTCTGAAGTTGATTTAACTGATATAAATAAAAAATTAGATAATCATGAAGAAGAAATTTAAAAATTATTTGAATTACTTGATGAATTAAGAAAAAAAAATAGGGATGGAGTTTAAGGAGTAGGATCTAATGTTGATAGTGAAGATCTATTGATTATCAAAAATGACATTAAAAAACTCTTTACTTTATTAGAATAATTATAAACATAACTAAATTTAGCTTCATTTGGTAATTCAGGTGAAGAAGGAAATAATATGGGAGAAAATTAAATGGTAATTATTTTAGCAGAAATCAATAAAATAAGAGCTTTATTAGAAAATTATGCTACTCAATAAGATTTAACTAATCTTGGTTAAAAAGTTGCATTATAATAAAAATAAACATATGATCATATTGATGAAGAAATTGAAAAAGTTAGAAGAGAATTTAAAATGAATCTTGGTAAAAAAGGAGATTTAACTGAATAAGAAAAACTCAAAAATGAAATTGCTTAAATTAAAGATCTTTTAAACAAAACTAAACGTGGATCCTAACCACAATTAGATAATAGTCCAAGTAAAGGACCTTAATTAAGTCCAGATTTTTTAAATACTTTTAAAGAATTATAAGATTAAGTTGCTTAAAATGAATAGTAATTATTTTAATTATATTATTTATAGAGAATTAATTAATCATAAATCTCAATTTTTATAAAATACTTAATAAGTTTAATAAAAGATTGCTGAATTAGAAAATAAGATGAAATAAACTAAAACTGATTCAATTATTTCTGGTTTATAAGAATTAAGAGAAATATAAGATTAAATGAAAAAAGATTAAGATACAAATAAAGCTAAAATAGCTTAATTTGGAAAGAAAATTGATGGAGTGGTTACAAGAGAAGATCTCTTGGCATTATTTGAACCTAAATTAAAATAGGTTCGAGATGAATTATCTAAATAAATTGAAGAATTAAGAATTAAATTAGAAAAGAAGGCTGAACTTGAAGATTTAGAAAAACTTTAAAATGATCTTGTCTCTAGATTAGAAGAAGTTGTTTAAGCTCTCATTAAATAATTAGCTAATAAATCTGAAACTAAAAAAGCTTTGATTTATCTAGAATAAAGAGTATATTTATAATTTAAATAGATTAATTAAATATTTATGATGTTAGAAGGAGAAGGAGGATCTAAAGATTAGGAAGGTTTGTTTGCTAAGAAATAACTTTGGTCTTGTGCTTCATGTGATAAAGAATTAGATAAATTTAAAGGATAATTAGGAGATTATAGAGGATGGGCACATTTCCCACCTAAAGAGACATCTCCTGAAAGAATGGGAAGAGTATATATATTTAAAATAATATTTTAGTTTGGTGTTGGATATAAATAAATGCAAGAAAAATCAAAAAATAATAGAGATAAAATAGATAAAGAAAGATATCCGAATGATAAAGATAGACCCAATAGTCAAGCTAATTAATAATTCTATCAAACAGGTTCATAAATGAGTTAAAGCTAAAACAATCTTCCAAAGATTAATAAATGAAATTATATATATTTAATGAATAATTAGTAATAAATTATATTTGTCTTAACCAAAATCAAAGAATCCTAACAAAAAATTAAAGTTAAGACATCTTAATATCTTAAACAACTTGATATATTCAAAATGTAATTAAATCCTAAAGAAATTCGATTATATTTAATAGGTAATGAATAATTACCATTTGGATTATTATATTGTATAGGAAATAAATCTAAAGTTGATGGTAGTTTAAGGAAAATTTGCATATTATAGTGCTGAATTATTTTTGAATATTTTAGAAAAACATCTATAAAGAATTGAATTCATTAAACTATTTGCAGATCTTGATAATGAGGAATACAAATTGCTTTAATTATCTACTCATGTATTAACTGATAAAAAATTATAAGATAAAGGACTTATTGCTTTTAAAATAATTAAGTACTTAAAAGATGAAAGGCCTCATTTTAATCCTGACTGCATTCTTGAAATTAAAAAACTCAAGGAATAATTTGAGAATTGGTATAAGAGTGTGAGAGTTTAATAGATTTAAGAGCGAATCCAATAAACTACATGGAAAGAATCTGATTAAGGACTTCCAGAAAATCTGAATTTATAAAGAGAGTAAAATAAAAGATAAAATAAATTAGAACATATTACTTTATAATGGGATGGAAATCCAATTAAAACTTTTTATCCTTTTATTCCTTAATTGAGAACTACTAAATCTAATAAAAATAGAATAAATTAAATAATAAATTAAAAATTTGGATAAAGTTATTGTTAAAATTCATTTTGATTCTCCATAATTTTATGCTTAATATTCTTAAAAATAATATAATCATAAATTACAAAATAATATATGATTATGCTCTTATAATAAAATATAGAATGAATAAGAATATTGTATACTATTTTATTGATGATTTCTTTTGTATTAATTAAGGAATTTTATAAATTCATAATGAATTCATTTCTAAAGAATTTAAGATCAAATAAAGAGAAAAAAGTCATTAGCATCAAATGATAAGTCAAATTTACCTATGTAAGTTGATTAAATCTTGATTTTGTGATCTTTATCTAAAAAAACATTTAATTATTGTCTAAATTAAATTAAATTAAATTTCATAATCAATGAATTAATTAAGAATGAGTTAATAAAATTTAAAATCAGTAATTGATTTTATTAGGAAATGTGAATAGAATGTTAATTGCCAAATTAATTGAAAGAATCTTATCTATAAAGAAATAATGCTTAAGTGATGAAACTTATTTTTTTATAAAAGGAGAATATGAATTCATATCATTGTTTAAATAGTTGAATGAATAGATAGATTAAGTAATCAAATAAATATACAATGATATGCTTTAATAAATAAAATAAGATAATTTGAAGTACAATTAAATTTTAGAATTAGCTGAATACATAAATGAATTAAATTTAACTTAGAATAGTACTTAAGATATTGTTAATAATCTTTAGCAATCTATAATGATAAGTTTTAATGCTTATTTTAATAAAACTTTGAAATAGAGGGATAATGAAGCTTACTAAGTTGAGATGATTAGAGGTAATTTTATTATTGAATTTCTTTAATAATGTTCATTACCTTAAAAGGAATTGTAATTATAGAATTGCAAACACAATATTGCACTATATTCTTAACTAAACCATGATTTTTAAGCTGATTCGAAAAATTAAAGCATTTTAATTTCAATTTCTTCTTTCAATTTTTATATATTTGGATTTAAATTAAGATCTCTACATAAATTTAAAAACTATTTAACTTATTTGCTAAATTTACCACTTACAAAATTTTCTAAAGCTTAAAGAATAAATCAGGATATAGAATCAACTAAAAATATGATTTAAATTATAGCAAATTTATTTGGAGATTCTCTAAAGATAGATAATTATTAATGATATAGAAGTTAGTCTTTATCTATGTAAGATTCAAATTACACATTAAAATAGATAAAAATTAATTTTGTTATTCCCTAAAGAGATTTTTTTGGAGTGAAATTTTCTGAATTCATTTTGTAAATATTTAATGAAATTCTTAAGTAAATATTTATTTTATTGAAATAGAATATCTAAGAATAAAAATGTAGATGGAATTCTGTTTTTATAATTAATACAACATAGTCTTAATTATATTTAATAGAGTTGCATAGAAGCATAAGATTATTTGATATTTTTACATAATATAAAATTGATTGCTAGTTAAATCAAAGACTTAGTTTAAAGTGTTTATTAAAATTCAAAGAAATAACAAAGTTTTAAAGAATTTGCTGATCCTATTCAATAATAAATTAATGGAATTTTATCTTAATATTATTAACCATGTCTTTAGAATTATGTGAAATTACTAAATCTTGATTAACCATAAGGAATGGATATGATACCTAGACCATATGTTATATAATGGTTAAAAATACTTAATGAATAGGCTGTAATTTTAGCCTAAATAAATTTAGATTAATCAGTTACTGATTCAATTATGTCATTTATTGTTAGTTAATGTTGAGACAGTATCCACACATCCAAAGCGTACAAAGTTTCTAGATTAATTAAATCATGAGATAAATTTAATTAAAATAATGACAGTGACATTTTAGGGATCTGTATGGCAGAAAGGGTTTTAGAGATTACAAAGAAAATTGGAAGAATTAAGTCAAAATACGTTGTTATAAATCAGTGAATGGGCAAGAACTTAAAAATTTAAAATGTCATTTAATTTTAAAGCATTATATGGTTATTATTAACAATAATGATGAATTTTAATGGTTTTCATACTGAAAGAATATTCACTGGCCGTGGAGAACTTACAAAACCTGATACTCATCACTATGCAGATGATGAGTCACCCGAGAACTCATAGGTTGAAGGATTCGACATCATGTGGAAGAAGCATTCTTTAAGGATTTTTTGTACAGCCACAAAATTTATGGTAAAATTGAAGACAGCAGTAGATCATTATAGATTAAGAAAGATTACACATAGGATATACTAAATAATTGGAGACAAAGCATCAGATTATTTTTATTATTAAGCTAAAGGATTAGTTAATTAAAAATGGACTTTCTAATCTTATATAAAGAGTTTATTAATATATAATTTTTGGGTTGAGATGTAAATAGGAGTAATTAAACCAGATAGCAAAATTAAATTATTAGTCGATTGCATAATTCTAATATTAATTGTTATGAATATTTTTTATATTCCAATGTAACTCTCCTTTTCATTATAGAATAATGCTTAAACTGTTGATTTTTTATTTAGTACAATTCCAAGTTGGGTATTTTTGATGGAAATAATTATTAATTTTAATACAGCATATTATTACAAAGGTATGATCCATGAAGATAGAACAAAGATATTTCAACATTATATTAAAGGAGATTTTTTTAAGGATTTATTAGTAGTTATACCATTCCTTATATCTCAATATAATATCCCTTATCTTAATTTTGTATTGTTATTAAGAATTACTAGAGTCAATAAAATATTTGAATAAATAGAAGAAGTAACTATGATAAGAGAAAAGTTTGCAGCACCAATTGATGTATTAAAATTAATGATATTTTTGATATTTGTGGCACATGTTAGTGGTTGTGCTTGGCATTATATAGGTATCTAAGAATTCTTTGAAAGTAATACTGGTTGGCTTATTAAATATAGTTATTCTGAAAAAGATTGGGTATCTAGATATGTTGTATCTTTATATTTTGGTACAGTGACATCATTTACTGTTGGTTTTGGTGATATTGTACCATAAACATTAGTAGAATAAGTTTTCTTAATAATTATGGTTTTGATAACATCACTTGTTTTTGGTTATACAATATCATCTATATAAAATATATTTGGATAATTAAGAGAGAAAACTGATTAACATCGTAATAAGATGGCTAAAATAAATTCATATATGAAAAAAAATAGAATAAATCCAGTTCTTCAAATGAAAATTAGAAAATATTTTGAATATTTCTTTACTCTTGATGAAAGTCCAGAATTACTTATGGACAATTTAAATGAAGATCTTAAATTAGAATTACGTACTAGTATTTACAAACCAATTATAACTAAATGTAAACTCTTTAAGAAATTTGATGAAAATCTTTTAAATTAATTATGTAGTGTTGTTTAAATACAAAAATTTATTCCAGGTTAAATGATATTTTAAGAGAATGATTAAATTAATAAAGCATATTTTATTATCTAAGGAGAAGTTGATATATAAATTAATAAAGTCTCTATCTAATAATAATCTGAAGGATCTTTAGGAATAAGAGAATTTTTACTCTAGAAACATATACATTATTCTTTAAAAGCTACTTAATTTACTGAAATAGCTTATATATTATATGATGTATTATTATATATATAATCAATCATTAGGATTTCAAAAATATCATTAAAGAAAAGTAATCTCATCAAGAATAATATTGTTAAATGAAGGATTAATTACTTTATTAAATAGAAAAATTAAAATGTGAAATATGTTCTTAATTTCATCATTTTAAAAAATGTCCAGTTGTATTTTATAGTCCTTCTACTGATGTAATAGTTTGTGATTATAGTGATGCCATAATTTAACCTAGATATAGTCATAAAAGAAAATAAAAAATAAAATAATCAACTTTAGTTTCAACATAATATAATCTAGCTGCTGCTGTTAATTATATGTGTGATAATGAATTATTAAATGAAGGTATTAATGATACAATACTTAAAAAATTTGGTTATGTTGATTACTAAGAAAAATAATAAACAATTGAGGATGTAAAATTAAAATCTTTGAAAGTAATCTAAAAATTATAAGAACATCATGCTCATACTCCAAAAATGAAAAGAATGATTTATAAAAATCTTATGAAAAAAGATGAAAATAAATTAATATTAAATAAAGAAGAATCTATATTAGAGAATATGCATTAAGAATTTATTAATTTTAAAAGAGAAGATTTAAATAACTTTGATTTACATATGGAATTCTCTCATTATCATTAAGATAAGAATTTAAGTAAAGTCTTATCTAATTTCTCTAAATAATAGCGATTTAAACCAAAAGAATAATTTTTTAGTAAAACAAGATTAGGTAAAACAAAACAATTAAGTTCTCATAATTCAACTTAAAATAATTTAATGACTAATAATCATTCAATTATGAAAACTATTTTTAATAAAAAATGAATATTTCATATAATCTTACTAATATTTAATATTTATTCAATCTTTTATACTCTTATTTATATATTCTATTTTATATTAATTAATCATAATCGTTTTCTTAATGATTAGGTTTTATAATCTTGTAAATTGAAATTTTCTTAAACAGGAATTAAAATCTAAAAAATATTTTCAAAAGAAGCATATTTACCAGTATTAAATATTGGTATTTTAAAGATATTTTAATTTAAAAATTAATATATATACAATATTTAACATACAACAGAATTATATAAAATTAAAAATTAAATATAAATAATTCTTAATCTATCACTTTTTTAATCATATGTATTATAATGATGATTGTGCTGCTGTCATTTTCCTAGTATGATGGAGTAAAGATGAGTAAGTAGGAGTTAAGAGAATATAAAATTTATAGAGGTTAGGTTTAATTCAAGAAAATATTCTATTTATGATAATTCTGAGAATTCTTAAATGAAAATACAGATATAAATAGATAATTCTTTAATAGATCTAGGATATATTGGAATTGGTATCAAAATAATATTTTGGATTAAATAGGCAATTCATTAATTGATATATCATTCTTAAGTTGATTTTGGTACTTTATATGAAGCACTTTTTTTAAATAATCCTATTTTTGGAGCTTAGCTATTTAATTTTTAGATTGCATCATCTAAATGTGCTGATTCTTCATTTACATAATCATCATCCTTGCTCATTTACTTTTATTAATAAGAATTCTTTAAGGCAAATTTATGTAAATCTTGTTAATCTTTTTTTTTATTTATTGGAGAAGCCATATTAGTAGTATTTGTATCTTATTACACAGATTTCATAGTTGAACAAAACTGACTGAATTTAGATTATTATTATTATTATTATTATGGTTTCTCTAAACGACTTGTAGATCCTTAACCTGAACAAACAGATAAAGATCCAATTGTATCAGTTCTACCATTTAAAATTGGAGTTCTAACTACTAATTCCATTGAACCTACTTAACTATCAAAACTTCCTTTCTTTTATAATCTATGTTAATGTTCTATTTCATATTCAATTAGATTTTCATGAATTTCAACTAAGTCATTTTTATTAAAGATTTCTTCAAAATAAGGATGTTATAAACAAGTTTCAGCACTTGGTCTATCTTTTGGATTTTATTATAACATTTTTCTGAGTAATTCTTATAATTTAGGAGATGCCTATATATATAATTAGAAAATACTTATTGAATTTATTTAATGTTATAATTGATTTCACAATTTTTATTTGCTCTCAATATTGCCTTATAATCAGCTCCTTAAAATGGTTGTTTTCCAGTCAATAAGACATAAAATATTACACCAGCACTAAATATATCACATTTTTCATCATAAAATGGATCATCCTCTTTATACATTAATATTTCAGGTGCAACAAAACCAGGTGTTCCACATCTTTTAAATAGTATTTCCTCTCCTAAAAATGCTGCAAGTCCAAAATCTGCTATTACTACATCTACACTATTATCTTTTGATTTAAGCAATAGATTTTCTGGTTTCAAATCTCTATGTATGCATCTCTTACTATGTATATGTACCAACGCTTTTATAAAGTTATACATTAGTTTTTATAGTGTATCTAATGAAAATGGATTAGTTTTAGCTCTAACTAATAGTTCCCCTCCTTATAACAAATCAATTACAAAGTATATTGAATTTTGTGTCTCATAAGCTTCATGTAAATGC